GGGAGCCCGATGCGGGACTCGATCCAGGGACTCCAGGATCATGACCTGAGCCGAAGGCAGTCGCTTAACCAACTGAGCCACCCAGGCGCCCCAGATCTTTTTTTTTTTTTAAAGATTTTATTTATTTATTTGAGAGAAAGAATGGGAGAGAGAGCACGAGAGCGGGGAGGGTCAGAGAGAGAAGCAGACTCTCTGCTGAGCTGGGAGCCTGATGCAGGACTCGATCCTGGGACTCCAGGATCATGACCTGAGCCGAAGGCAGTTGCCTAACCAACTGAGCCACCCAGGCGCCCACTTGCCATCAGATCTTCTTCAGAGACAGTTTCTATTGATTTGTTTTTCCCTTTGAATGGGCCCTACTTTCTTGTTTCTTTGTATGCCTTGTAACTTTTTTCATTGTTGAAAACTGAACATTTGAATTTAATAATGCAGTAACTCAAGATAGCAAATTCTCCTCCTTCCCCAGGGTTTTCTAATTTGTTGTGTTTTTGGATTGTTGTGGGCTGTCTCTGTGCTAAGGGTTAGCCTGAGCTGTAAACTTAAGGTCTTCTCAGGTCTTTGCTGAGCCTTTTGGTGGTCATGAGCAGTTATGTTCTAATTTTCTCCATATATGCAGTTGTTTTTGAATGTCCTAGTCAATATTTTTTTTAAAGATTTTATTGAGAAAAAGTGCACATGAGAAGGGGGGAGGGGCAGGGAGAGAGGGAGAAGCAGATTCCCCGCTGAAGCAGGGAGCCTGAAGTGGGGCTTGATCCCAGGACCCTGGGATCATGACCTGAGCAGAAGGCAGATGCTCAACTGACTGAGCCACCCAGGCGCCCCTGAATGTCCTAGTTCTTAGTGTCTGGCTTTTAAAAGGGAAGGAACAGAAAAATGAAGGGGGAAAACAAAAAAGAGTGCTGGCCCTTTAAATCCCCTGGAAGTTCCACCCAGTGGAGGGGCTCGCAGCAAGCAGTGAGAGATGCTGCTGCATCAGCAGTAGCTACTTGCCTCTTTGTCTGCATCTCTGTGATCAGAAGCAGCAATGATCAGAGCCCAGCTCTCCAATGTTTGGTGTATAGGGGTCTTTTTGCTCACCATGGCTCCTGCAACCTGCTCCAGGAACACATGTACTACGGGAGATGGGTAGCTGCTGCCTTGCTAATGGCTGAAAATGACATGAATTAACCACAGTTTACCTTCCAAGCTTTCCCTGGTGGTTGAAAGCCCTTCAGTAGATTCTACGGTTCCAAAATAGTTGCATTGGGCAGATTCTGCCAGTGCAATTATTGTCTAGGTGGGGAAACAGATTCCTGGTGTTTCAAACTCTGCCATCTTAACAGAATCCTCCACAGGTGTATGTGTATTTTGAAATTTACTTGATATTGACAAATTAGGACCCACCCCCAACATATGAAAGATTGTATGCATTTGTATTAACACTTTACTGGAGTGCACATTTTCTGTCCGAGACAGCATTGGGCATGTTTAATCTTTTTTTTTTAATTAAGGTATTGTTGACTTGCAATGTTACGTTAGTTTCAGGTGTATAATCTTTTATTTTTGCTAATCTTGTAGGCAAAAAAATTTATTTGTATTTTTTAGTAAGAAATCTATATTCTGTGAATTGCTGTTCATAACATTTTGACAAATGCTTTAAATTTGGTTGTAGTCCTCTATATTTGGTTTGAGGCTTGGTAAAATATGAGAGAGAAAACAAAGGAATGGTAAGTATGGTCACTCCTGGATTTTTATAATTGAGTTTTTTCTATTCAGAATATTTTGCACAGGTTTTGAATGTGTTAATTTATACTTCAGCCTTAGGATGTTTTCATAGTAATGACCATATTTTAATTTTATGTCTAGTTATTGTTGTAATAACTATTTGCAAATATTGTGGGTCTATAAAAGCATTTTGTCATACAATGTTACAGCAGCTCATGAGGTTATTTGGAGTTGAGGAAACTGAGGATTTGAGAGATTAAGAAACTTGATTGAATGTCTAGTGAATTTTTTTAATAATAGAGCAAAGGAGTCTTAGTAAAGTTCTGGTCCTACAACTGATTCATTTAGTCAGTTCTTGTGTCTATCTTATTAGCTGCAAAATGAAGATAAATAATAATAGATAATATTTAGATAATAGAATAATTTATAATAGAACAGATAAATATTATTATTTTTAAATCTAGAAATGAACACTGAAGCAGAGCAGCAGCTTCTCCATCATGCCAGAAATGGCAACGTTGAAGAAGTTAGACAGTTATTAGAAACCATGGAAAGAAATGAAGTAATTGCTGACATTAATTGCAAAGGTAAGCTTTGGGTGGGCTTTTTAGCTTTTCTCTTGTGAGTATGTATCACTCATTTATTTAGCACTAATCTTTTTGGTCTTGCTAGAAATAAATTCCCATCTCTTACTCTAGAAAGAACCTTCATAACAGTGGGTAAAAGGTCTCTTGTAGTCTTCCCTAAGTCAGAGAAATTGAGATCTAGTCTTAAGGTTTAGGGTCCATGACAGTTTTATCAGTTACAAGATGCATGCTGTGATAGGGTATTGTAGTTAAAGCAGCAGGTTTGAGTGTTTACTATATGCTCAGAGTCCTGTGAAGTACCTTGCAGGTGGTATTAGGTAGGATCCCTGCCCTCACTGAGACTAGTGTAGTAGATTTACAGATCAGACTAGTCTGTACTACACAGTATGTACCAGAATATGGAACCTCAGGGTGTCATGAGATCCCATTGGAGAGGTATGAAACTGGAACTAGAAGGATTAGCTTCTTAGAGGAAATGATTCTAAGGCAATCTATGAAGAGTATGTAGGACTAACCAGGTGAAAATGGAAAAAATGTTCAAGGGAGAAGATAGAGCATGTGCTAAGGTCCTGAGGCGAGAGGCAGCCTAGGTGGCAAGGGCCTACAGGCAGGAGGGGGGTGGGGGATAAAGTTGGATAGGTAAGCAGCAGCCAAATCCTAATGCACCTTGTGTAGCAAGGTTGTAAATACTGCACTCAGGTGTGCAGAGAAATAGAATTTATTTTCCAAAATGACTCTGATATTTCAACAAGCACCTTCTCATTCTTTTTTTTTTTTTTTAAAGATTTTATTTATTTATTTGAGAGAGAGCACATGAGAGCGGGGAGGGTCAGAGGGAGAAGCAGACTCCCTGCCGAGCAGGGAGCCCAATGCGGGACTCGATCCAGGGACTCCAGGATCATGACCTGAGCCGAAGGCAGTCGCTTAACCAACTGAGCCACCCAGGCGCCCGCACCTTCTCAATCTTGAAGTATGGAAGACTTATTGTTAGTCTTTGGATACCTCAAGCTCAGTTGCTTTTTGATAAATGGTTTTCCAGAGCCTCTCAACTCTTCTTGCCCCATCTCCCCTAAGGTGGCTTTTAAATGTAAGGGTGAGCCTTGTTTGTGTGTGTCTATAGCCTTTGGTTCCTCTGTGGCCCTTTTCTTTCTAGTGCTCCTTAAGCTTTTATAGCTGAACCTGGGGCAAAGTCAAACTCGTGTCTCTGTCATACAAATGGTGGTCCTTGGCTGTCACTTTGTGGCTGCCCTGCAGGTGGCTGCTGGGGGATCTTTTCCTGTCATCCCAGATGCCACTTGCCTGTTCGTGGTGTTCCCTCAATTTATCTCGCTCTCTGGGCTCATGAACAGGAGGGCTATGTCTCTGCCTTTGTGTCTTTCTCCCAGTCCTCTGTCCCAGATGCATATTTTATTCTGCTATGTCACATTCTTCTCCTGTCCTAGGGCCACAAACCTTATGGCTTCACCCACAGTGGAGAAGGATTGCAGCAGGGAGGAAACTATGATCTGAGTTTTTGAGAAAATGAGTTGGTTTTTGGTATGCTAAAGGAATTCTAAAAATCCTTCTGGTGCTTTGACAAAGACCATTTCTTTTTTTTTTTTTTTTTTTAAGATTTTATTTATTT